GGGGTGCACTAAGCCACAGAGAGATATGGGGCCTTTGGCCCACCCCTGGACCCACCCACCTATTGTGCCCCCCCAGACTCAGGAGGCACCAGTCACCCCTGCCCTTTATAATCACTCAAGTTTCAAATGTGATTAAATGTAATTTATGCTCACTTTATAGAGTGTGGTATACACAAAGGGTTTACTATAAATCATAATTCATATCATTGACTTTAATGGGAATTTTTCCCCAAATAAAAACTGAGACTAAAGATCCCTGTTTTCAGCCCCTACATTTCTCATGGGGTAACATCTCTTTGAAGCAATTTAAAAAAAGCAGGAATTTCTAAGCAAATGTTATACTTCTGTGGAAACGCAGATGAGGGCAGAAAGAATTAAAATGCTATCAATGCTGAGAAAATTATTCCTATAGATGTAACATGACTTCAATAAAGTCCTGATTCAGTTCTCTCATCCAGAAAGTGTAGATAGTAACAATGACAATCGCTTTCCCCACATTAAATAATACCTGTGAGGCCTTTTTTAACCTTATAGGCTGTAGCATGCACAGGTACTTAACAGGGATAAAATCAATATAATTCTAATACTGTAGAAAATCAAGTGGAACATTTTCTACTTGATTACTCATGATGATTACAAAAACATATGACAATTTTTCCATTGACTTTAGAGGGAGCATATTGAGGTCTACTCCAAGTGCTTTGTAAGTACTGTGTGTACAGTAGCTTACATTTTTTAATCATAAAAAGAAGGATTTTTCACATTGGAACCATCCATATCACATTGGGTTTGCTGAGCAGTTATGCTTCTGTGAAGAAGGGAAGTGTTGCATGCTATTTCCCAAAGCAGTGTTAAGAAAAAAAAATAGTTTCTCATAAATATATATATTCATAAGTATATATTAATGTTAGCAAAGCTAAGGATTTAGATTACATAAAAATTAGATCTGGTCTAGGAATATAAATAGAGGAAAAGGACCAGAGAGTTACTAATTAAGCAGTCCTACATGAAGCAAAAATAAGGTTAAAAAGTCACAAGACTTTCAAAAAACAAAAACAATATGGAAAGTTCTTGAGAAATAAGCACAATAAAAGCCACAAAAAATAAAAACCATAAAAACTGATATGAAGTCTTGAAAAAAATATGTTTTAAGAAATAATTACAAAATTACTGAGTCTGAAACTTGGGTTATTTTGGGGAGGAAGAAGGGGGGAGAAGGGGTTGCGGGGTTTGGGTTTGTTTTGTTTTAATAGTTTAGGCTGCTGGTAAACTAGCAACTTCTGCTGGCAGAATTATTTAGGTGCAATGAATTATTTAGGATTCTGTTCTGGTAAAGGTCAGTTTCATGATCTGACTCAGCCTCACAGCCTATGACATACCTTTGCAGAGACTTTCATCAGTCAGTTCATAACCAGTTCCACAACTCGTGTCACGCTGACAGCGGAAGGATCCCAGGGTATTAATGCAAGTTTGTCCAATCCCACAGTTGTGTGCCCCAGTGATGCACTCATTAACATCTAAAATAACCAGAGTAGAAAAGATTAAACAGCCAATACAAAAGACTTGAAATCACTGGGAAGAAACAGGGTCAAGAGTCAGTGCTGTTCCTGAAATATCTGGAGGCAAGTTGTCCTGTAGACTCTCTCTTCCCCCACTAAAGAGGTAAGCACTCACATCTGCCTCAAATTTTTAGCTCCTCTCTGTGTCCGCAAACAACAAATGAAGTATCAGAGCTACTATGAGATGCTATATTTTATACAAACATCTGTCTACTACTACTACAAAAGAAAATGGATGCTTATATTGCTACTTTCCCACCTGCAACAAACCTGATGTCTCCTGCCTTCCAGCCCTCCATCTGCTCTCTTACCACTTTATTAATTCTATTGTCCCCACGTTACCCCACCCTGCCTAAATCAGCTTCCCATTGCCCCCTGGCTCCTTCCCTTCCCAGCACAAGTATGTTCTGTCCTGGTCTGTCCCATCCCCTTTCCCCACCTTCCCTCCCAAAAAAAGAAGAAAGCAGTTTTGTTTCCTTTACCTTCACAAGTGACGCCATCAGACTGAAGCTGGTATCCAACAAAGCAGGAGCAAATAAAACTGGCTCCCGTGTCCCTACACTGCTGGGAACAGGGACCAGCACCTAAAAGCAAATGTGATTTTTGAGAACAAGCATGGAAAATCTGGTATCAGTAGGAAGTTCACCACACAAAACTGGAAAGATGTCAACTGCTTAATTACCAATGCCTAACCAAAATCCAGGATATTTTACCATTATTTTAGAAGAATACATTAATTGAAGAGGGAAATATGAGCAAATACTGAGAAAAATGGTCACATCTGTTGTTTTATTTCATGAAAGTATTACAAAGAAGGGAAAAAAACATTTAAACACACCATCACCACACACATTTCCCGCTTTAAAGTTCAGGAGGAAGCTGGTTAGCTCATATACCTCTTGGAGTAACTTTAGAAAATGGTAACTTTTTTACTGCATCCTAAGAAGATCAAGACAGCTCATAACATGTAAATGAAGCATTTACATTAGCTTTGGTATACCTTTATTATTATAAAAAAAAAAGTAATCAAGTTCTAATTCCAGTATAAATACAGAAGTCAGGATGGCAATAAATTTGCTTCCTTGTCCTCCCTTTTTGCATTTTCCCTTAACTCCTACCATCACTATTGAGGCTCTTTTTTTTTTCTTTTGATTTGGTTCCAAAATAAGTTAGATATCACAAAAATACCTTATGTTTTGATGGTGATAGTGGATTATTGTATGCCAGTTATTTGTGATAAGGTTTTGGAATCTTTTTATCTGCATCCATTTTTTCATAAATATTTTTAGGTATATGTAAATATTGTGGTTAAATATTCAGATGGGAGACCTCTACGGCACATTAAAGTCCCATCTTCATTAGGAAGCACCAGGAGGAAGCCATTATAAAACCCACACTATTTGGAAATAAGACAACTTTTGATACCTCATACAGCTTGGTAGCTTAAAGAAAACCATTTCAGGACCTGGAACAATTCCTAATGAGGAACTGGCCCATGGTACCACATGGAATGATATTTGATGTTACAGAAGTGGCAATGGCAATGTCTGTTAGAAGTACATGCGGCCTCATAGTTAAAACAGATAGGTACCCAGTGCTCCATCTATGCTAACAGCCCCCCTGGAAGAATCATTAAGTACAATTATTTTGGCAAAAAGCATAATGTAGAGACCCTCTCAGATGGAAACTGCCTCTGAAAACAAATAAAGGAAACCCTTTTACTTGGAAAAAACAAAATAAATTAAGCTTTAGGACAAAGGTTCTCAAATTTTTCTATTACACGGGTCTCATCAGAAAACGTGGGTTGGAAAACAGCTTCCATTTGTAACTGGACAGACTACTCCACCTCTTCTTAGTCATGGAAGAATACCTAAGTGGCAATTAAAGTAATTGATTGCATACAGAGGTAACATTAGGGAAGCATGTAGTGTACTTTTGACACGTACTATGATAAGGAACCAAAGACAAGAAGGAAAAACAGCTTTAGCCTTGGCAGAATGACACACCCAGTGACCTAAATAGGTGTTTTCTGTCTCTAGCCTCTAGGGAGGGTAATATCTGCACAACAGGCAGCATAGTAATTCATTCCTCAACTGCTAGGATATCTACAGTCACCTGTGATAGGATATACAAGAACTTTGAAATGGCTGTATTTTCAAATAAGTTATGCAAGTGTTACTGTAGGATGCAAACAAACCCTGTGAAGGAGTACATTTGGCATGACAGGATGAAAAGTTATACTGCAATATCAGTCTATAACTCAAACATTATTCTACCCTAAATGGATTCCAAATTGTTTGTGGAGAACAGTAAATCATCGATGCCCTAAGCTCACAGTTATGTAAATCACATCTGAAAACCAGTAAATTAAAATACTAAGCAGAACATCATCCAAATCAAACATTCCTTCCAAGAGACTGCATTTTGTCACAAAAAGCGAGGCATAAAATTATTTAACCTTTTTTCCTTTCTTTTTCCAATTTTAATTTAGATGTTGCAGATAAAACACAAATTAGTAATGTTATTTCAAAACCAATCCTCAAGCTCTAAAGACTATGGAATGACTGTTCAGCACACTAATATCTCCAGACACTTCCAAATGAAAAGTCAAGTTTGTTATCTTCTGGAATCAGTTTTTATCCTGTGCACAACCAAGCTGACTGGATTGCTGCTCCAGATCCATGCCAACACTATCAACCATTAAGATTAGAGAATTAATTTTTCAAAAAGGCCAGTGGAATTTGGAAGATCCTATTCAATATTTTTAGGAATCAGGTCTATGTGGATGGATATCAGCAGATGATCTGGCCCTTTACTTTTTAAAAAAAAAAAGTTAATGTGTTAGAAAGATAAGAATGGCCCAAGACAGGTAAAATGAAGTCAAACAGGCAACTTAGTAACATTTTCTACTTCCAAGAAGCAAATATATCTGTTGCTCTACAAGCCCATAAGGGGGGCACACAGAGGTAAGAACTCACAGAGGTAAGAACTCTGTCTCATTACTTCCCTGCTGGGGCTATTCACTTCACTACTACTAGAATAACAGGAAGTGTCTGAAGCAGGGACGGGCAATTATTTTGGGTGGAGGGCTGCTTACTGAGTTTTGGCAAGCCATTGAGGGCCACATGACAGGCAGCCAGGGGAAGATAAATATTAATTTTCTAAAATTTTAGGGGCCCTGTAGGCCAGATAGAATGGTCTGGTGGGCTACATCCAGCCTGCAGGACGCATTTTGCCCACCCCTGGTCTGAAAGCTGCTATCTACCTCTCTTTAAGCAAGCAGGGAGTGGACACAAAAGGTGATGAACCCACCTGAGCTAGCACTGAAGGAGGAAGCTATTTGCACCTTTTAAGGGGTTGGTGTGGATCACTTCATCCTAGGCTCAAGAGATGAATGAAACCTGGTGTACTCTTTGGGCAGAACAACTTCATGCTACTCAGTACACAAAGCTAGAGGGAGAATCATGGTTTTAGCCCTAAGGTAGCTAGGTGAAGTTTTTCACTGGCTTGCTTTTTAGAGACAAACTTATCTATTCTTATCTGAGCTCAAGAAACAGAAGACAGGAGGTAACAAAAATCCTTTTCAGTAGGATCCAATCATGACACATAGTTGACATGAAACATTTTACAGCACAGTTGAATTTCTGCTCTAGCTACTGTGGTCAACTATCCTTGCTAAACTGTATAACAGTGGGACATGTTCTGCCTTAGAGAAGCATGAGCAACTCTTAAGACACCTGCTGAGTTCTATAAAGCAGATTTGGGGTGCTACAATATATGAACTCTGAAAGTTTAGAGTGCATGTACAAATGTCACCAAACGTCACAACTTTCAGTGATGACCGAAAGACCTTCCTCAAAGCCAACCAACCAAGCAAGACATTATGTCCCATCACTTCCTCCCAGCCTTGAAAACTGGCAGGATCATCAATATCAGGAAATGACTTCTTCAGTAAGAGCCTAACAGGCACTTACCTGTAGGTTACTGCTTCTTCATCCTCCTGTAGGGCTGTGTTGACAATCTCTACCCACAAGCAAGCCGTTACATCCCAGTTAATGCCCACTAGTTATAAGGGACCACAAGGTGGCTCTCACACTGTCTCAAGCTCTCCAGGTATTTTCAGATTGGCTTATACATACCAAAGGGTAAAATCTCTTGTCATATAATGACCTGCCTCTACAAGGAGCTAGAGTTTTCCTGAATGCTCAGATCAATCTCAGCTGCCCCTGAACTCAAAAGGAGTTGAAGCATCTTACCTCTGCAGCCATCATGAAGGTAAGGATCTTCTTGGTCTACTTCCTCTTTTGAAATGTCAACTAATGAAAAGGTGAAACAGGCATTAGAGAAAAAAAACAAGTTTTATTCTCACAATAAAATACTGTGTACTTGCAAAAAGATTTGGACCAGGCCTTTGGGAATATCCCATAGTAAATATTGAAGAAAATTATTTTAAAAGCAGTTTCATTGTTATGGTTGAAACTTTAAATACTTGCAAAATGAGTGATTTACTAGAAAATATATTATGTAATCATGGATTACACAAAGACCAACATTTCCAAGTGAGTTCCTAAAGTCAGGCTTCTAACTAAACCTTAACTTGATCCTCATCAAATGTTCTGAAGCATTCTCAGCTCCCCCTGACTTCTGCTGCAGCACTTTACATAAAAATCAGATTAGCCATTTGTGTTCATTTAGACATTATTTTAAAAAGCCACTTTATGCCTGAGGTTGACCAGGTAAATCTTATCATTTAAAATAAAGGCACATTTACAGTAATTAGGGGTGTGCCCATAGAGATTTTGGGGGCTGATAGCCAATTTTTAAGGAGACATATTGGCCAATACTGATCCGATTTCTGATACGCAGCCCGGCAGCTTGAAAAACTGCATCCAGCTGGTAAGTCTGTTATGGTGGAAGGAGAGGGGGGAGAGAAGAGGCTTTGGTTGGGGGGGGGCAGATCAAGGCCCCTGCAGTGTGGGAGGGAGTGGGGCTGGAGCCAGAGCAGGGGAGGGTGTGGGACAGAGCTGCAGCTCATCTGGCGGGCATGGCTCCTGCCACTGCATGCACACCAGGAGGGCACAATTTTCTTTATATCAGTGCTGATCCAATATCGGACTGATGTATTGGTGCACCTCTAACATTAATTAGAGTTCTTCATTTTTCATACACATTCCACTAGTGGCACTCATGAATCCTAGGTACACCGAGCTCATAGGCTTTTGGCCAGCACTGTTGCACAGCTCATATGCCCTGAGAGTTTTTATATTTCACACTAAAAGATCAGATTGTGCATCACCACTCAGATGCTTCTTAAGTAAAGGACTCTGAGGTAGAGTGAATAGACAGCATGTCATGGAACATACACATAGGCAACAAACATATCATAAAGAGCTGCAGTCATCATAAAGTAACTTATTCTCCTTCAAGTGATCATCAGCATGCCCATTCCAACAACAGTATAACACAAGCCAGACATCATAGTGATCCGTACTTAGTCATGACTAGAATAGAACCAAATAATCTGTAGTGTTCCACATGGTGGCTTTTGAATTAGAGCAATGTTGTGACTGTGTGACCTGACCCATCCCTGGGTAGCTGCTTTCCATATAGCAATGGCAAGCAGATTCTTTAGCAATGCTACTCAGGCTGCCAGAATTCTAACAAAGTGAGCTCTGAGAGCAGTGGGTTAGGTTCCATCTAGCCACCTCATCATATATTTCAACACAGTTGAATATCCAATGTGATAGGCTCTGTTTTGATGTGGCTTTGTCTTTCATTCTCTCTGCAAGGGAAAAAATAGTTTGCAATAAGATCTGGGCAGTTTCATCCAGTTTAGGTCAGAAAAGCATGTTTTCTACATCTAAGGTTTGTAGATGAGTCTAAAGATCCCAGGTCAGATGCTGGTTTCATGGACCTGCTGTCTGGACTTCCTGTCTTTTCTAGTCCTGGAAATGAACAGCATGCCAGAGATGTGCAGTTCCTCCTGCAGCCTGTATCCCTACTCCCTCCCTGATCAATAAAAATATTTCAAATTTACAGGCACAACTCCTTATCCAAGAAGCAATGCTTGATGTCCAGGGACCTAGAGAAGACCATTCCAATTCAAAGAAAAAATAGTAATTTGTCAGTAGCCAAAAACTATTAGCAATAAACTCACTATATTCAGTTGCTATGGTAAGGATTGCTAACAAAGAGCAGAGGGACAGTTTTTACATCTCAAAGCCTAAGAGTAATGACAGGAACTGAACACAGTTGGTATGCCCTATCCTTTTATGCCCTTCAGAGCAGGAGGACGTTCTTGTGTGTTGTATAGATATTGGTGGTGAATCTGCTTGTCATTGCTATTGATGGCAAAGGACTCTGAGTTCAGGTGCACATACACCATTGGGTACATGGACAGTCACTCAAAGGAGAGCACAATACTACAGCTGCTACTTAAATCATTCAAAGGACAAGCATTCCTCCCTTCCTTGCACCCAATGAGGTCATGGAGTGCTGCTCTGCTGTCCCAGACAATTTGTTTCACAGCACGGTATACCTTGGTTCTTCTTTGGAACATCATCACTAACAGACATGTCAGTGCTTCCTTGACCTTTAGCACAGCAGTCACTGAAAATTTTCCTACACTGTTGTCCTATCTTTAGGTTCGAGTCACAGTTCTTTCCTTGAAGTTGGGCACTCTTTCCCAGCAAGCAACAGAAACAGCATTTCTGTCAAAACAAAAGACAAATAGTGGGTGAAATCCTGTAGTGCCAAAGTCAAGAAGGATTTTGCAATTGACTGTAGCATGGCTAGGATTTCACCCAGTTCATTTATAGAAAACTGAACATCTTTTGCCCCTGATTCTCAAAAGTCCTGAGGTCCTTAATTACAGGGTAATTGGGTCTCAGAACATTTTTACTCTTATGGGTCCAGTTGCACTTATCCAATGAGCTTTAGATCTAGTTCTTAAACAGAATATACTGACCAAAGCTATGCTCTGGATTCAACTCTCATGAATCCTGGGCAGTGAATAAACTTCATACCCTCCCACCCCTCTTCCTCAACTCTCTCAGCTTCCCAAAAAATCTTCACACAAAAGTACCTGCATGATATCAAAGTTAACAGACCATAAAAGGAAGGTGTGATCACTAGACTACACCCCTCCACATCATGTAATAGCATCACATCCTTACAGCCTGATCCTGAAATGGTATCCATTAATGAAAAACAGATCTTTTTGTTTCTTATTCTGGGCACAATGGTTTGCACTGGTAAAACTGAGCCTAAAAATTCACTGCAGGACTGAAAAAGGAAAAGCAAGGCTGATTCAAAACAAACTGCTATTCTGATTCTATTCTGAATTGAGAACACATTGCTGGCTTGCTCAGTTTTCTCTCCCCCCTGCTGCGAGAAATGAAGGGTGTAATTTGATTCATGGCAACTAATGTCTGCTGTGACGTAGAAGGTAGATTTAAGGGCTTATTCCTTTTAAATTACTTTTCTAGTTGTATTTTGGCTTAAAGAGAGTAGTCTGCACCACTAAAATAAAAGCAGCTGAAACATGAAATAGCTACTCATTGTGGAAGTTAACAAACTAAACCTCTTGTGTCATTTCAAGAAGACATTTCCATCCAAAAACATGAAAAGTAGTAAATGTCTCCCAGCTGCTCCCTTCTCAACTTGCTTATATAAATGGCTGCATATATATGTTCTGTTTTCACTGTTCTGAAGGATAAAATAATAAACCTTCTCTTTGTTTTCCCCTCAGTCTTGTTTTATCCTGCAATCTTTAGAGCAGCAAGCTATATATCTGACTTAGTGCTTGGGTATAGGTTGTAGCTGTGTTGGTCTAAGGTCATAGGCAGACAAGGTTATTTTGGGTAAATCCCATATCTTTTATTAGACCAGCTCAAATAGTTGTAAAAATTCTTCTCTGCAAGCTTTCAGGTACAAATGCCCTTTGTCAGGCTGAGGAAGCGCCTGCAGGATGAATGAATTCCATCCAGGAAGAGCACAGACCAACTGCAGGCGCTTCCTCAGCCTGACCAAGGGTATTTGTACCTGAAAGCTTGCAAAGAAGAATTTTTCCAACTATTTGAGTTGGTCTAATAAAAGATATGGGATTTACCCAAAATAACCTTGTCTGACTTTATACTTCACATTTTACATGAATCTGAATCCAAATCCTTCCCAGATGGTCAGACATCACTGCAGGAATAAACTCCGCCACCTCTGCCTACACAGGTCCTCTCTTTGCTTGTCTGTCTAGTTAAGTCCCAAAAGATTTGCCTCTCAATGTACTGTTTGATGTAGAGATTCTTTCATTTGAATACAGCCTACTATATTTTCATCTTCTAGGTAACTTTATAAGTAGAAGTTGAGAAGATCTGTGACGAATACTGACATTTGCTCTGAATTCACTTAATTTTAACACACAGCATTTACCTCATGAATTTACTTTAAAAAATGTTTAGACGTGCCTATACTTCTTGTGAATTTCCAGCTTTCACATCTGTAGATTAAAAGGGATTGAAAGAGGTACATAGTTTGGTCTTTAGGTTGTATGTTTTCCATAATCAAGTCTTGCTTAAGCTAGCAAATGTAGCTGTCACCTTGCCAAATCATGATGTTATTCTCTCTGAACACTCCCACTGGCTTACACAAAGTATTTTCAAACTCAACTCATCTCTTATACTACTCTGCCATCTAACATACTGTTCCAGTAGGATGCTGCCAGAGTTCTCATTAGATAGTCTTTCCCCACAAGGGTTATTAAACCTGTCTTTCTTACAATGGTGGACAATCTCTCAGTTTTGCTGGCATGTTGTTTGAACTGTGTCTTCAGAAAAATCTAAAGCTTCCAGCGCACACAGGCCAGAATTCTCTTTCCATTTAGAGGCTGACAAAAGACCATTTTAAGACCAAACCTGAATTATCTAACAAAAAGTAGGAACAATTTTATTACCCTCTCAGAGTATATAAGTGCCCCCATTATTGGATTTTAGGGTCAACTTCCTGGCTAAAGACAGAAGTTACGCGTAAACCAGTGTAAGGGGTCAGGAACCAGTTTAAGCCTGTAACAGAACAGAAATTCAATTCACATAGAATTCAAAATGGCTGAAACTGGTTTAAGATAAACCTGGTTGAATGTAGTATCAGACTTAACTGATTTGCATCAAACCGGTTTATGGAACTTCTGTCCCTGACCCCTTCCTGGTTTCAGTTAAACTGGAGTCCCCCAGCATCTCGTCATGCTTTTCAGCATGGGCTGTGCTCTCTGCTGCAATGAAGCAGGGCTGACCCTACCCCTAACGGCCAGAAGAGACTTTTCCATCCTCAGCAGCCAGGCGTGGGGTGGATTCCCCTGCCTCACCCCCTCCTCTGGCAGCGAATCAACCCAGCTCCCAGTTGGGGCAGGGGAATAAAACCCCTACTGCCAGCTTCCCCCTGCCCCACCAGGCACTAGGGGGCATTCCCCCCCTTCCTCCCCCCCAGCTCCTCAGCTTCACCACAGGACCTGCCAGGCTGCAGACTGCACTCACCGGGGAGTCCTGCACTGCAAGACAGTCTGGGACAGGAGAGCTGCAGCCCAGGATATAAGACCCCCTCCCTCTTCCAGTGTTAGCTGCACTGCAGTCCTGCCACAGCCTGGTGGGTGAAGCAGGCTGGGAGCCACAGAGGCTGTGCCAGGCAGGGCTGATAGGCAGTGGGGGCTCTGGCCATGCAGGGAAGAGGACTCACCCAATACCCTCAGGGATCTCAGGGAGGACCCAGCTCCCCAGCAGGGGCAGGGGCAAGGTGCCGGGCTGCAGCTCTGCCTAGGAGGCTCCAGGCATCCCCGATGCTCTGATCCCCTCCAAGCCAGTTTCAGTGGCCGTGCCTTGTCTGTTGTTCCTGGGAAGCAGCAGGGGTCTGCAATGGGGGTAGGAGAGGGATGGAGCAGAGGCTGCTGTTTTTCCTCCTCCTTCCCTTCTCAGTTAGACTGCCAGCCAGGGAGAAGATGTCATGGGGTGATCCACTCAGCTCTCAACGGCAGGAAAGCCCACAGTCCCCACCTGCCTAGTGCAGGGGGGCTGGACCCGATGATCTTGTGAGGTCCCTTCCAGTCCCTTACAATCTATGAATCTATGAACCTGAGCCAGGAGCTGGGGTAATCACCTGGCCATGTCCCCTCCCCAACTGGCAGGCTGGCTGAGGATGGAGTGGGGGGGGGCGCGGAAATGGCCCCCACTGTGGGCTTCCCAATCCACATGCTGGGCAAAGCCTGGCTAGAGTCCAAAGCCAGACCTAGGAAGGTGTTTTCCTCCCTCCCCCCTCCCAGCTGGCCTGCCATCTGAGCAGGAGGCATAGCTAGGTGATTGGCCCAGCTTAGGCAGAGGAGTAAAGCTCCCACTGCAGGCTTCCCCATTGCCAGGAGATGGGCCAGTCACCAGGCTGATATCCCTGCTCAGCCAGCAGGCCAGCTGAAAAGGCAGTGGGGGGAAAGGTGCCCTCCCCCTTCACCCAGCTTTGGATCCCAGCCAGGCTGTACCTGGCACAGGAGGTAGGAAGCTCACAGCAGGAGCCATTTCCCTGCCACTCTCTCCCAGCTGCAGGGAAGCCTGTATTGGGGGCATTACTCCCCTGCCTGAGCAGGGAGGTGGCCTAGTCACCCAGCCATGCCAACTGCTCAGTGGGCCAGCTGATGAGGGAGTGAAGGGGTGGGAATTGCCCCTGCTGTGGACTTCCCACCCGCTGTGCTGGACACAGCCTTGCTGGGGTCCAAAGCTAGGAGCTGAACAGAGATCAGGCACCTGTCGCCTACCATCTGCTCATGGCAGTCCTGGGTGCTTGGGGCAGGCTGCTGCAGGCCATGCATGTGGGCAGCAGCAGGGGGAGGCAATGGACTGTCACAGCCTGGCCCCATGGCCCAGGGGCATAGGCAGCAACTGTCCTGCAGCAGCCTGCCCCAAGTGGCTGGTGCTGCTGCAAGCAAGCAGCAGGTGACAAGTGCTTCACCTCTGCCTGCCACAATAGTTCACTCCACTGCTGCCACCAGGAGAGGCATGGGGAGGGAAGCCAAGCTCCAGCCCACCTGCAAACAATGGCATGTGGGACTGGAGGCGGGAGATGGCAGGCACTGCCCCCTGCCCCCTATGGCTTCCCCAGCCCACGCCTCACTACTGCAGTGGGATGTAGTGGTGAGTTGAGCTCCCCCACTTTGCCATACCCAGGTCACATCCCCACTCCCCGCACCTGCTGGCTGCTCTTCGGAGGGACTTGGCCCAGGGCATGTTGGTGCCCCAAGTGGGGACTAAACCTCCTCTTCCTCTCAGGCTACTGGCAACTGGCCCCTGCGGTCATGGGTGCATGGCCCCGGGTGCAAGAGCAGAGCTGTTGGTGTCCACACTGCCGCCTCCCTGCAATGGAGGGATTAAACCCTGTTTCTCCTCAGGATACCAGGGTCTGGCCCCACCCCCACTCCTGCCACCAGCCAGTGAGTGAGCAGGGATAGCAGGGCTGGGGTCCCTGCAGGCAAGGGTCGGGGTTTATACCCCTCCCCAATCACAGTCAGGCCTGCCCAGGCCTTGCCACACCCCTTCACTCAGCTTAGTTTCCCTCCAGCCAAGGGCTCACTCTAGCACCCCCCGCCTTCTGGCCTGAGCCACCACAGGCATGCGCCTGCATTTCCAGAGTCAAAAGTAGATGCCTGTCCACTTGCAAATTGATTCAATCTATGCAGGTTAGA